GTAATCTCGCAGCCCTCAGTAAATACAGCATATATGCATTTTTGGTTTTTTATTTCAGACAAAAAAATCGAAATAACAGGTGCAAGTAAATCTTCTACTTCGGCTAATCTCTCACAAACAAACTATTTATTTTTAGAAAAGGCGCACTGCTTGATCAATTATGGAATATAACCGCGATTTTATTCTGATATTTAAACACACATAAATAAACTTAAAAAAAACATCACAATGCAAAAGACTACTAGTGAAAATTTCTGAATGGCATATATTTGTACTTTACAATAATGCAAAATAAATCAAAATATTATTTGCAAATGAAAAATAGCTATTTTTTTCATCTAACTTTTCATACAGGTTTTATCAAAATGAAGGTGTACCACAAAAACAAAAGTATCAGTATAGTCTAACCCAAATAGTACATAATTCTAGATTTTCCAGATGGTGCTCTAATTATAGCCGAGAACTCATTTTGAATAAATGTGTATGCATATTCTCTTTGCATTCATATCATTCTCAAGACCTACTGTCTTGCCAGTCTTGCATTCTTTACATTAGTGCATTTTTCCCTCAGGCAAATGGATGGAAATGGAAAATGCATAATATTTTGCTCTTTTAATAAATGCAGTGTAAAAGCATTTTTATAATGGAAATGAAAAACAAAAAACAAAAACACCTTTTGTAGGTGGAAATAAACTTTCTGTGTTGACTCATTTCCAATAGGCCTTTTATTAATAAAGATGCAATGATTGCATCTCAGCTCTTCATCACACTTATTTTCCATTTAACAGATAAACATCAGCTTTCTGTTAAAACCACAGCACAATCTAACGACACAGATGCACAAAATGCAAATTTCAGTATTTGATTTGGGTCTTGATGTTATACAAGTCCATGTTTGGTGTGCCTCCAGGCTTACTGGCTGGTTATTAAACTAATTCATTGGCAGTTGTTTTTGTCCTTTAATATCTTTTTTCTTCTTTTTTTAATCATTTGGTCTATTACATTTTAAATTGGTAAACACACTTTAAAGGAGCAACCAGACAGACACCAATTTTCAGCAACAATGCAGCCAGAGTCATAGAAAAATAACTAAATTGAGGGGCTTAAAGCAAGAACGGACAACATGAAGTGGGGACTAATTTTCGACAACTATTCGTTAACAACCAAACATCAAGGTGTGTCCTCACTTTAAAGCTGGTTGCTAGTGGGTATTCCAGGCTCTGGTTGTCGAGGTAACCCACTAAAGTATTTACTAACCTGCGATAATATCAATCATTGATATCCTGTGCTCTCATTGGAAGTCTCTCAAATCGCTCACCTGAAAGTTGAGAAAAGTTTGTGTCTTCCCACTTTATGCTGCCAAAGTTGTTGCTCGAAGAAAAAAGTTTCATTTTTAAAAAATAATGAAAGAAAAAGAAAAAACAGTAGCAAAATTTCATTGATATTCACTGGTCACTGGTTGGAAAATCACTTTAGCTACAAAACGATGTGTCAGTTGATTGACTTGCTTGTTGAAACAATATTCAGATTATGAAAATAATGAAAACAAAGGTGGCTGATAGCCTGGTTAATAAAGCAGGGTGCATGAGAGAAGAGTTCGCTGTGTGAATTTATTAATTTTTTTATATGTATACAAAATACACTATAATAGATTTTCTTATATTACTGGCTTTTCTTGTATTAAACCCCCATACTGAAGAAAATAATAAAGCAAAATAATGGTTGGCTAAACTGGGCTCACAAACCCAGTGGAACCTGAAACACTTTGCTGGAGTATTTGCCTTGTGCTTGAAAGTTTACAGTTTTCCTCCTTGTGTCGTTTTCAGTTTACCTTCACCTATGTGAGTACAGTTCACACAGCTACACTCAGTTGATTCATACATGTGAAATCGAACACAAAAGTCTGATAAATGCTTTTGATTTCTTCCAGGGATCCGTTTGCAGCTCACAGGCAGCAGATGAGGAGTCTGTTTGGACCATTTGGGATGGAGCCTTTCCCTCTTGCTCCTCAGATGCAGCCACATCGTGCATCACGCAGACAGGTAACAGACTCTGTGCTGATAGATACTTTGTATGAGTTTTGTATGTCCAGATTGGCTTTTTGTTTACTGCCTTTTTAAAAATTTTAAGGTGTATATTTGTCTTTTAGGCTGGCCCTCTGGCTCCTTTTGGCATGATGGGAATGGTTAGTAACACCTTCTATGACCTCTTTTAACAACTGCAAACACGGTGCATGGTGACTTAATTTTCATTAAAGGAATTACAGAACTCTTAATTCTGTCACCAGCCACATGATGATATTCTGACTGATGATTGATAGGTTCCAGTGTAATTATATTAGACTTCTTAATAGGTTAGATTGAGGTTTACATCCCCAAAACACTGTAGCCCTGAACATTTCAAGGTATTGTACAATGTAGGTGGTGCAAAGTTTAAGTTTATTGATTTGCTCGGATAAGAAAAAATAGCAGCAGTAATAATAGTTAATAATAGCTAATGAGTTGGCATCGAGTGTCCTGCTTCCTGTACCTTCTCATCAGGCAGCTCCTTCGCCAAGTATGTTCTCTCTAGAGAGAACCCACCGCAAGTCATCTCCTGCTGTGTCTGAACTTGCTTTTTCTGACTTTACAGAGTGTCAGTGTGAAACCAGCTCAATACAATATGGCAAAGCAAAATCTCTCAATAAAGTAAAAAAAATATGCAAGGAAGGAGCTCGGTTAAATATAGAAAAGTAAAAAAAGTAAACCTGAATAAAAATGCAACAAAATAAATAAAGGCACATTACCCAGATCTGTTATTACCTTAAACGAATCTTAAATCTTAAAAGAATGACTGCTGATTGCTGATAAAATAATAAAATAAGTTTTGTCATTTATTATATGGATTTTATGATTATGGTGGTTCAGCAGTTATCGCTGCTGCCATATAGCAATAAGCCACCAAGTTTAATCCTGCTGGCCATCTTTCTGTGTTGAGTTTGCATGTTCTCCTTAGCCTGGGTGCCCCAGCTTCTTCACACAATCTACAGACATTCGTGTCAGTTATTTGTTTATCTTTGTTTGGCCTGTGCAGGTTGTATTTCATCTCCTCCCTGATGTCATCTGGGATCCTGGATTAAATAAAGGGTTAAAAAATTTAAGGGGATTGCTCAAAGAATGTTTTCTCCTACATAACGTAACACTTTTGGGCATTTTCCAACAACGGGAACTGCCGTCATAGAACATCTTTCAGTCTGTTTTTAGCATAGAAGTGCATACTCTAGGTTAGATATCTGAGTGGCTCAGTTAATTGGTTAATCTTGAAAACAAAAAAAACATCTACTAGTCAGAAACAGGAAGAAGAGTAGCTATCAACACTGAAATTCTCCAGTATTGGTGGACGCAACAGTGTCCGCTGTTGTTATTGTCAAAGGGTTCTAGACCACAGTGGGAAACAGAGAGGCTGAAAGGGCTGTTTATGGCGCTGTGCAGCATGGCTGCCACGAGCTCCTGCACTGGAAAAGTGGTTATTGACAACTGTGCACTCAACACACAATGTATGCTGCTTTTCTGCCTGTGGTTGGGGACTACTCAAATGAGAAATGTAAAGATCCTCTTATTGCTTGCAGGGTGGAGGGTTCATGGATATGTTTGGCATGATGGGAGAAATGATGGGAAACGTGGTGAGTTGTTTTTTCTTTCCAAATAAACAGAAAGGAATTATTGTCGTAAATGAAATGTGTGTCTCACTAGTTCTCCATCATTTCTATTTACTTTCCATTATTTTTCTTCTTCCAGGACAGAATGTCTGGTTCACCAAACTGTCAGACGTTTTCCTCCTCAACAGTGATCTCATATTCGTCAACAGACCCAGGGGCTCCTAAAGTTTATCAGCAGACCAGTGAAACAAGGACGGGCCCAGGGGGGGTAGGAATAACTCATATTAGTTCAAATATATATACGAAGTTGTGGTCAGAGCCATGTAAGTAGACCTGCTCAGTGGCTGGGGCCTAATTAGTCTGCTGGCCTCATTAACACCAGTAAGTGTAGTGACTGTAAATAGATTATGTACAGTATAAATATCAGAGATGAACTTAAGTTCATTCCTTCCTGCCTGATTTTGTAATCTGGGGTATTTTTTGATTTGTTTTTTTTGTTTTTTTTCTTCCCCCAGATCCGTGAGACGCGGCAGTCGGTGAGGGACAGCGAGAGCGGCCTGGAGGGTCTTGCCATTGGCCACCACATTGGAGACCGTGCACACATAATGGCGCGTTCACGAAATCGCCGCACTGGAGACTGTGAAGAACGGCAAGACTACATTAACCTGGATGAGAGTGAGTCGACCCTGATTACAAGACTAATCTTAGCTCAGGCTTCACCTACTATTCAAGCTAATTGGAACTGAATTTAAAAAGGGGGCAAAGGAGATGAATGATGAGTTGTGACTTTGATGGTCTCACTTCACACACGTGATTTCTTTTTTTTCTTTTTGGCTCTTAACCCTGTGTTTGTTCCTGCTAGGTGAGGGTCCAGCATTTGACGAGGAGTGGAGAAGAGAAGCAGGAAGATACGCTCCCCCGAATGCTCGTGGGTTGGACTACGGCCGCGATCGACGAGGAGGCGGCCAGCAGCTCGCTCTTACCGCTCCTCCCAGTTCAACGTCCCCACCAGGTCATCGGCACGAGTCCCCCAGACACCGTCAGCCCCAAACCCGCCCACGTTACGACTGGTGAGAAGGTAAGAGAGATGTCAGAGATCATTGTGCCACTATTATTATAATTGCTGTAATCTGTTGTGAGCTTATTAATTTCTGAATGTTATCAGACATAAAGTTAAATGGCCATATTTTACTCTTATAAATACTTTTTCGCAGTATATTGGTTTGCACAGTAAGAAATTATAAATGCTAAACGTTGTCACTGCTTTTTGATTTGCTTTTGTTCATTTGCACCTTGAATGCTAGGAGATTAAACAATGCCAGCTATTTTCCCTACATAGTTCTACAGAATGGTTTACTGCCCTTGTTTTAACACTTTTCTGAGACTGCTCTTCACACATGAGAACCTGCTGCAGTATCCTCCTGAACAATAGGTGCCATTACTCAGAGAAAACCTCCACATTACTCTTAGTATAGGAAGTGAAGAAGTTAGAGGTTTTTTTCCAAAGTCTTCCAAACTCTATTTTTCCAGAAAGTCTCCGTCTGCATAACCTTTGAATCTCGGAGCTTCCGTATTCATGTATCATTAAAATGGCAGGGGCACCAGTTTAGCTCACTGGGATGAGCAGGCGACCATATGCCGCATCGCAGAGAGCGGTGGGCCTCACTGGCTTCCAGTGAAGTTCAGAGTTAATTTTGAAATATTAATTATAACATATAAAACCTTATATGGCCAGGCTCCTGTGTATATAGAAGAGCTTCTGAAACCTTATAACAGCACATGGCCTGTCCAATCTATCTGATCATGTCTCATAATTTCATCGACTTAATTTCAGCAATACCCAAATAAACCTTTTTACCGTTAAAATTTTTTTTAAAAATAAGGTTGTTTTCTTCTCTGTTTACTGTTTGCACCGCCACCGTAGCCTGATCATTTTCTTCTAGGAATCTTAAGTCCTTTAGGCTAATGCACAGCAGCCACAAAATCCCAGCACTGTGTTGGGGTCTCAGTGCTGTGCAAAGGTGTGAGCAAGCCTATTAGTAGTTGTGGGCCATAGATCACTCCGCAGTGATCTATGGCCCACAATATAGCTACCAATCACTCAGTTTAGTTTATCTAATGCACTTTTTTGGCATTGTGTGTTTGTCCCTCCAGGTGTTCCGTATAACAATGCGACCAGATTGAAGGAGTTGAGGATTTCCCCGATGCTGTGAACCACGATGAGGACGGGAAGTTGATGCCCGCCATAAATGTTTGATATGACTGGACTGTCTTTACATGAACAACATATTATACACACACACACACACACACACACACACACACACACACACACACACACACACACGCACGCACGCACGCAATGGTTAGAGTTTAAATTCTTTACTCTTACACACACAGACACACTTACAAACGCCCCTGTGTAAACATGGGTATAACTACACTCACTTAATGTATAAATATATATAAACACTCATTCTCTAAACTTGACATGTGTCTTTGCCCACTGCACTAAAGTGCTACAGTATACAGTACATCTGCTGTACAATCCATTTTATGTTTGTGAAGACACTCGTGTGTCGGTGAATTGAATTGTATACTGATAACTAATTAATGTAATAAATAAAAAGTTCATTAAACATTGTTAGATAATTGCAAAGTGTGCCTCTGTTTTGATGTTTTGGGGTTGCATGTCTTAAATTATGGAGTGTTGTTTAAAGAGTTTTCCGATTCTGTATTTTTCCTTTTGTTTTTTAAACCCTTGCTTATTCATAAAATGTATTGACAGCTAAATAACGTGTTCATTTGTGTCAATGCAAGTCTTACATACACATGCATGCACGCATTCATAGGTGTGCGCCCTCTTCATCTTCCCTGTGCCACCGTGTCTGCAGGTCATGTGATGTCCAGATGGCACGTTCAAGCGGGGCAGCCAATGAAAAACTTTCCTTTTCTCCAAACGCCCCATAGCTTCCCGTCTGCATTTTGCTCGTGCTGGCTGTATCTTTAATTACATCTAAGACTATTTTTAAATGCACATCCTCCCTCCGGCAGCGGCTGCTCCCGTCTACCTGTCTTCTTGTTTCCTTTAATCCCTATCATCAGATATCTAACGTTCCCCAACAAGGCGCCTTCTTTTCTGCTGTCTTTGCTAAGATGCATCCTCCTTGTGGTTGCTTTGTTGTCACATCTCCTGCCTGTCATCCACATGCACTTACTTCAGCTGTATCGCAGCGCTGCTTGGACCTGACAGGAAGCGCAAATGAACGTTTCATGTATCAGTTTGCTGGGACAATATTTTCATGTCACGAGTGCCTCTGTAGTTATCAGCAGTGAGCAGATGTGTACGCAGCACGTATGACAGGACTGCGTGGGTGTAAAGTAGCGGTGTATGTTAAATGCTCAGATGGTTACATTGTTTCCTGCACCCCTATTAATACACAAATCCACATTGCTCCAGCTCTTCTACTCAATTCCTCCTTCCTATCTCTTTTTCCTCTCTCCTTGCTTTGTTCCCTCCCCTCCTCTGCATCTTCCAATGACTCACATGCTCACCCTCCCCCCGTGTGTCATACGTTTTCACCCCTTCTCCTCCCACCTCCCCTTCCCGCTATTGCTCCTCATTCGCCCACATTCGCTCACTTTCTCCACCAGGCTTCAAACAAGCTGCAGGTAACGTTTAAAAAGATTGATCTGTTTCTTCAGTCCCTCCATCCCTCTCATCCCGCTCCCCTCCCCCATCTCCTCGTCGCTACCTGCGCTGTCTTTTGCGTCTCATCTCTGTTGGTCCGTGCTCTCTGTCACTGACTGAAACGGGCGAGAAATTGAGCTGGTTTGTGGTCTGGAACAGTTTGACAGATTTTTAAGTAGGTGCGCATCACTGGTTTCTGATTCATGTCTTTCTCTGTGTGAGTGTGAGCATTTTCCTTGAGAACCTCTTTTTCCACTGCTTTCCATCCTCAAGGCTGCGTCACTATCATCACAGTGTGTGTTCAAGTGGAAAAGAGGAAGAGAGTGTGAAGTCCTTGTTTTTCATATGAGTGCTTTTGGTATTTCACAGGCTATTTTCATACCGAGCTTCATCTTCATGCGCAGCTTTGCTTGCTCATGTGTTTCCTTCTCTAATTAAAATAACAGACTGAGTGTATGAGCACTGGATAAAATCTGCATTTGAAATGAGGCCAATGTTCCCTTGTTTTTATTTATTTATTTATTTATTTATTTATTTTAACAGGATGTCTATAGTGAATATTGTTGCCAGGGAGATCTTGGACTCCAGGGGAAACCCCACTGTGGAAGTAGATCTGCATACAGACAAAGGTTTAGAAAAAATAAAATCTCTTGTTTAATGTCTCAAATTAATGTTTAGATTATTTCATTAAGGTTAACTACATCCTTCTCCATCCTCTTTCCTCTCCCTCAACCTTTCACCCCATTACGTCTGCCTCCTCTATCCACCCACCAATCATATGCTTCGATTCCAGGTCTTTTCAGGGCTGCTGTTCCCAGTGGTGCCTCCACAGGCATCTACGAGGCTCTGGAGCTCCGAGATGGCGACAAGACTCGCTACAAGGGCAAAGGTGTGAACACTTACAAAGATGTCTCCCCTGCACTAAGCGCTCTTGTTTTTCTGCCTGTATCTGATTTTGCATGATGGTTCTTTTCCTTATTGTAACAAAATGGGGACTAACTGGCTTCACGTTTTGCACTAAAGGTGTGACAAAGGCTGTTGCTCACATTAATGACACCCTTGGACCCGCCCTCATCCAGTCTGTGAGTACTTCACTTTGGCTCAGTTCAGTTTTGTTTACTGTACATAGCACAAGTTCACAACCAACAGTAACCTCAAGGTGCTTTCTGTTGTAAGTGAAATGTTATAGTATTACAGAGAGAACCAAAAACGTCACATGCGCCTCTATCACCAATCAGTGTGGGAGAAGAAGACTCCATAGACTGTATATAGAAGATGGGTGAAGCCAGCATGACATTGATTTCTAGGTTGGCTCCACATTATGAAGCCTAGCTGTATTTGTTTTGTTTTTGTTATACAGGCACACCTGCTAAGTGACATACTTCTTAAAATACGAGAGGTTTACTCATCCTTTTGGATGGGCCATGCTTCATTGCAAGTCATATTATTAGTACTGTTGGTGCCAAAAGGCAGAGGTCCTGTTCATTAAGTGGAGTTTAGTGCTTGAGGCCTAGCAAACAACAACTGGCTCCAGCTCGTTGTGTTGGAATATATGCAGGTCAGAGTGTCCACACTCCTGTAATGTTAATTAGCCATAGAGACTACAGTCCCGTGTAAATATGTTATTTACCAGGCTAAGGTTTTGACTTTAAACTTGTGAGTCACTGTTGGACAGAACCCCAAGTCGCCATACAAGGAACTGCAGATTTAGCATTTTGGCATTGGCTTCGTTTTGCTCAGAAGAAATCTTCAGCAGCATTTGGCTCAGGGAGGGGCAGCCATCTGTTGCAGCCAGTTAGGCTGAGGGTAAAGAGAAACAATGGGCAAAAACAAAGGGAGAAGATACACAGTTAATGTAGTGCAATAGTGACATAAAAATGCATAGGAAGAGAAGATGATGGGAGTGGAGAAGAAGTGATCAGTGCATCAGCTTAAGGCTACATCAGTGTAACTAAGGCAGGGGGTGGCCAACTCTAGGCTTCGAGAGCCGGTGTCCTGCAGGTTTTAGATATCACCCTGGATCAACAAACCTGATTCAAATGATTAGTTCATTACTAGGCCTCTGGAGAACTTCAAGAAATGTTGAGGAGATAATTTAGCCATTTAAATCAGCTGTGATGGATCAAGGACACATCTAAAACCTGCAGGACACTGGCTCTCAAGGCCTGGAGTTGGCCACCCCTGAACTAAGGGATACCTCAGGGTCATCTAATCCAATACTAACTATAAGATGTATCAAAAAAAAGGGAGAGCTTGAACCCAAACCAGGAGAGATGGGCGCGATAGCTGAAGCACTGCCCCCCTTTAAATCTGAAGGAACCACAAGTAAGCCTGTATTGTGAGAGCAAAATGCTCTATTAAAATAGTACATGATGGGGATTCATCCAGCAAAGTGATGGGATAAACAAAAGAATATTCAGTTTATGCTGCAGAACCTGATGAGCAGCCGAGCGGGACTGAAATGAAAAAATCTGTTTACTGTATGAGGAATATTGTGTTTTTCTTCCAGGGAATCAGTGTGCTGGAGCAGGAGAAGCTGGACAATGTGATGATTGAAATGGACGGCACTGACAACAAATGTAAGCCTCGCTCACATCTCGTGTGGGGTGATGGTATATATGTGTACTGACATGTTTCCGCACCAGTGAGTACCGACTGCATGTGTGCGTTATGTTTGTGACTGCCTCTATTTCGCCTCCAGCTAAGTTTGGTGCCAACTCTATTCTGGGAGTATCGCTGGCCATATGCAAAGCTGGCGCAGCAGAGAAAGGTGTCCCCCTGTACCGTCACATTGCTGACCTGGCAGGAAACAGAGAGCTGGTCCTCCCTGTTCCTGTGAGTTTTATAGTTTTTAAAAAAATTTATTTTTCTCCAAACATAAATGACCAACCATAAAAAACCCCACATCCATCTGACATTCTTTTAGGCTTTTAATGTGATTAATGGAGGCTCTCACGCTGGGAACAGGCTGGCCATGCAGGAATTCATGGTTCTTCCAGTGGGTGCTGAGTCTTTCCGTGATGCTCTGCGTGTGGGGGCGGAGCTCTACCAGACACTGAGAAGTGTCATAAAGGAGAAATATGGTCAGGATGCTACAAATGTGGGTGATGAAGGGGGGTTTGCCCCTAACATACAAGAGAACAGTGAAGGTAAGCACGGCGACCACCTGAAAACAATTTCCTTCAGCCTAATCTAACATATCGCTCCTGTTTCTTCCTGTCAGCTCTGGAGCTGATAAAGACAGCCATAGAGAAGGCGGGCTTCACAGATAAGGTGGTGATAGGAATGGATGTTGCTGCTTCAGAGTTCTTCAGTGAGGGCAAATATGACCTGGACTTTAAGTCGCCACCAAATGCTGCCCGCAACATCACCGCTGATGAGCTGGCCGCCATCTACCAGGGATTCATTAATAACTACCCAGGTGTGTAATGTGGTGTGTGAGTACACATGTTCTCCAGAGAGCACAATGTGGACACCGCTTAGTCATTAAAAAAATAAATAAAGGAGGGGGGGGGGTGTTATTGATTTCTCTAAGCCTCAGTCAGCTTGAATCAAAGCATCAGGGCTATCGCAGTCGACTCCATATGTTTTGTTCCTCCCACCATATTTCTTTTGTCACATTTTAGA